TGGTTTGCTCCACATAACGAATTGCTCACATTCACCTCTCCTCGTTCTATGACCTCAACCCTAACGCTTTTTCTGTACACTGGACTGCTGCTCTTGAGATTACGTTCGAGTTTTTCTGACAAACTGGACTTCCCTTCATCTTTCTTTGCCTGCTCTTTCCACTGCTGTCTAGATGTCCAACTGACCGGAGAATCGTCTACACTCTGACCGATAAACAACCGCCTGGAGATCTCCACGCTTTCTGCGACGACATGGTCATCCCAGTCCTCCTCGTCCAGGAACCAGGGTTCCCCAGATGTCCACTCCTCTCCAGTGTACTGTGGAGGCTTGTGACGGTGTAAAGTGGGGCTGTCAGAGACTGACAGGTCAGCTCTAAGCTGACGAGGATCTCGGATTGGAGAACACACATCTGCTTTGGACAGACTTGGACGAAGAAGACGAGATGGGAGAGCTGGAGAATCTGGGACAGAGCAGAATGAGTGATTGGCCAGATCATCTCTTAAATCCAAGCTCTTAGTAGCTGGTGCTTCATGCAGGTGCGGCGGAACCCCATTTGTCGTAGAACGGTCTTCATGCACAGGTATGTTCATCTTGACAGCCGAATGCTGCACTGGACTCTGCTGTAAGGACTGGATTTCTCTAGAAGGATACCCATAGTTTGTGCTGCTTTGATTAGACGAACACCCAAAAACAATGGGAGGAGGAGAACTTCGGACCTCGTTGAAAATTGTTGACACCTTGGTGGCCTCTTCTGCAATCTTGCGGGCTATCTCAGGGCTGTTCAGAGCTGAGGAGTTATTGCTTCCACTCAGCTGGTTCAAACCACGAGTGGGTGTGTTTGTGAGGCTGGTCCTTTGCCCTGACAGAGGCCTGTCTTCAGCCCGGCTTCCCCAAATTTGACTGACTGGAGCGGAGCAGTCTGGCTTTGAACTGAGATTCTGCATGGGGCATCCTTGGGACCTGGAGGTGGATTTCTGCTGGTTGTTGTGGGATGAGAAAGCATCTGATGCTGGGCTTTTAGGGACACCACACGCAGCTCCTACCCTGCCTGGGTCAGGATCATGGCGGTAGGCACTGCAGTTTGGCACTGGTGGGCCTGCCCAAGACTGGCATCGTTCTCTATGGCGTTGATGAAACTCCGGATTCCAGTCTGAGCAATGAGAAAACTTACACCTCAATTGCGGAGATCCAAATTCCTTAAGGGCTCGCTGTGTTGCAGCTTGACCGATAGGATCCAAAGTAGAACCCATATGCTGGTGAAATTGACTATTATTGCAGGTAGATTCCGCAGGTTGTGACCACACTGGGTCACTACACCTCTTACGTGGGCAAGCCGCAACCTCCTTTATTCCCCCCGGACTATTACACGGACTCTCTATGGTTTTTACATGGGCCTTCTCAATGTAGCTGAAAGTGACCACAGACCTCTGTCCCTGCACTGGTTTAGAGTTCTTGTGATGGCTGCATGCTCGACAAGGTGTCTCAGGACCAGATGTCCGCCCAGAGTTTGACGAGTGGGCATGTTTTAATAGTTTACTGTCAATGTTGTTATTAAGGCCAGAGGACACTTCTTGGAATGGTTCCTGCTGGGGAATGCTACATCTTTGAGGGGAATCCAGAGAACTGTGTGAAGGCTGCAGTCTGAAGCTAAAATTTGGCTTGAATGTGCTGCTGGGTGGTGTGGGAAACCCAGATGCCGCCTGTGCTAATTTGGTCAAAGCTTCAACGGGACCGTCTTGCTCCACTGCTGTCTCACAGGAACTACCTTTTCCATCATGCTCTGGTGGAGATCTCACCTCCACATACAAATGAAGGACTTTCCCAGTTTGAGACATGACGTCATAACAGTACAACACAAAGAGATACTGTGATGAAGACTGAAGAAGAGACAAACAGGGAGAGACAGGGATACTTTTTTCCGTTCTGGTCGGTTTGTGAATTCCTGTGACTTGTCTGCGAG